ACGGCAACCGGAGAGGTAGTGACTAAGCTGCAAAAACCGAGGTCCGATTCCTCATGGGCACATTTCCCCTAAAGCCAAAAACCTTAAAGCTTTCCCTGAGAGTTTAAGTACACATCCTTTCCGTAAAAGTCTGTCTCAGTTCTGAGTGCCCAAGCATTTGCCCTTTACAACACCGCACCTTCCAGTACTGCTACCAATTGCTTTTGCTCGCAAATTTGGTCAAACAATGATTTTGAAACACTTCCTTCTCCAACACAAATAGGTCAGCAGGATTCAAATCTAACCGAAGGACAAAATACTACTCTCTAAATTGGGGGTATGCTGGCAAAACCTGTACCTTACTTGATTCCCTACAACCTTTCTTTTCCAGTTTGAATATAAACTGAAAAGTTGTTGCAGAGGAAACAACGTTTTTAGCCTGAAGTCAGAAAAGTTATTAGGAGCAAAATCACTACCCATGTGGGGTATGCCCGGAATTCCGGGGGAAATCAGCTTTTGTTGTTCTATGGCCCAGACCAGATGCTCTGAGGTGGCCAGGAACCTTAGTCTACACCCACTTAGCAGATTTCTGGCTTTCTATCAGGGACTAAGAGGTTTATTTGCAGAAATGGATCATTTCCTTCTAAATATCCTTTACCCTATTTACAGGCTTGCATATTCCTTCTATTTGTTTTCCCCCTACAGCTTTACTAAGGGAATTAATTATCTAGAAGAACAGGAACATACAGTAAGTACATCTGAGATACAGGATGAGACACAGTATGTCATCTATTAGGCCTGGCTAAGACCAGCAGCTGATGCTAAATGGGAAGGAACATGCACCAAATGTTTTTTAATCACAAAGTTAGTAATTAATTGCTCTTTAAAATACATTTTATGCTTCTTTCTGTCTGTGTACATGAAATGCACATTTATTACATGCCAAAAATTACAGCATTATGGCTTAAATGTGATTGGCACGGAAGTCCGGAAATCAGCGTTAATGTTCCCACAGCAACTTTAATTCCGACTGTGTGCACAGGCGGGCTGTAACGGCCTTCGCTCCAGGATCATACATATAGATGGTCTGGGCGGGAGGCTAACGACCCATATCCTCAACTGTAGTTACAGGAAGAAAACAAAGGCCATCAGCTGCGCGCCTTTCCACGTGTGTGGATAAAAACAATGTCCCTGTGCCCCGCGTTGTGTAATCAGAGATGAAAGAATCTGCTGTGAGGCCGGCACTTAGGGGGACAGTTTCTGTTGCTGTGGGAACCCGGACTTTGCATTTCCTGACTTTGGGGTAATTAAAATGTCAGCCTTAATGTGGCATTAATGGAGCTTGCCATAAAAATCCTCTGTTTTGTTCTCTAAAAAAAAAAAAATTGCTTAAAAGTTCAAACTGAACCAACTGTACTAAAAATCTTAATCTCGGGGACTTGGATGGTGAAGCAAAGGGTTGGGGGTGGAGAGGCCGATGAGGGCGGGTGGCAGGAGAGAGAGGAAGGAGCCCAGCAGTCTCCTGGCCCGCGTTTGGCCCCAGCAAAGTCATGCTACCTGCAGAGCTAAAGTTAGCCCCACCCACACAACAGTTTGGTAATGTGCAAAGGTTCAATTAAAAATAAACAACTGTGAATGCGTAAGTGCATTTTGGCAAGGACACACAAAAGTAAGGCAGTCTGATGAGACCAGTGCAAAACCTGGGAAGGTAAGCAACCACGGGTGCCAGCTCCCAACAAAAGAAAGACAGCAAGATCGGTGAGCCTGAAGTCAAAAGCAGGGAACACTGCCCCAGGGAAGAGGCACCCCTCCGTTCCTTCAAGGGGGCACTTATTTTGGGGCGAGTGATATGGGAGAAATATGCAAGTGATGGTTCGGGTAGCCTCTATCACGTGTACATGACTGGGCTAGGCTACAGCTTGCTATCTGACAAGAAAGCTCTTCCGCTTAGAGAGCCTTGCCTGCTCTCCTGATGTGGTTTAGTCCTGTTTCACCATTTGAAGGGAGAGCCTATTCAGTTTTGTACCCATTTCAAACCTCATCTCAGTGCCTTCCATTGTCATCATCTGAGTTTGTTTGCCATTAGATTTTTATGAACGGTAAAGAGGTGACAAACTAGGAGGTATGGGGAGTGTTAATAAAGGAAATTGTTAGTGCAAGTAATAGTAACCTTAGGAGTAATATTTACCTCATCATCTCACAGCAGAAGGCACTACTCAACCATACTCCTTCATAGTTTGAACACTGCTGGGATCTTTGGCCAAATCTGAAGTGGCCCAGCAGGTTACGTAATCAATTGAGAATGTCAGGGGTCAGACTTCCCTCTTCCCGCTACAATTTGGCCTGTGCCCTTTAGAGGCATCGATGCTGTGGCCTACCCTTACCGGTCCATGTTCAGAGCTGACTTTTCTTCTGTGGGGACGTTAATATATTGTGCTTTATAACCCACTCACCAAAATGAGTAGTTGCACATTTTCAAGAACCCTGTTTACAGTCTGGAATGCCATCTCTGGGCCTGGAACAGAGTCCAGGCTGCCCACAGGGAGAGCAAAAGCCACAGACAGCCCTCGGTATCTGAATGAGTTAATTATGAGCAAGTCATTCATCTGTCAGTTTTCTCATCTGTACACTGGGAAGAATTATACTGACTGACAGGAAATGGGCATTAAAGCGTGACTAAGGATTGTTTTGCTAAACACATGCCAAATGAATAAGTGCTGTAAAAATTCAGGCACCTGTGCAAGCTAGGCATACCGCATGCTGGCGGATGTTTCTGAAGTTAAAGAGATAATAAGTCAAGGGCACTGCTTATAAATGCCACAAATCTGTTATCAATAGTTCTAAATAGGAACTGAATATTTCACCTTAAAGAAATTAGGCTTTTAAATTAATCTAAGAAAAGAGTGATATTTGAAAGTAAAAAGAAAAAAATCCTCTTGAAAGCAAGGAGAACGTCCAAAACTTTAACAGCTTAAAATAAATCTCTTTCCTATCTTTTCTCCAAATGGCCAGATTTCTGCGAACTCTTCCTAAAAAACAACTGTCTTCGCAGTGTAAGCTCAACTCAGGACAAACTACAATCTGAATATATTTGGAGAAAAGTAGAATGGATTAAACAACAGGTTGGAACCGAGGAGACTTTCACATCTTAATGGCAAAATCAAACTGACTTCAAACAGCTGAAGATTAGGTTTCTCCTCCCAGTTCAGACACCCTACGGACTGGCCTCCTCGTTGCTGGGAGCTGTACGGCGTACCATGCTTGTAAAGCTCCTTGCACACCTCCCATGCTAACAACACGCCTGCTGAGGGGATGCTCATAGGAAAGCACAATAAATAGAGCTCAGTGCTTCCTCTAGTCAGAGAAAACACTTTGCTGCAACAGGGGATTTCTGAGCGAAGGCCATCCTATGTAATCTTCCCACAAGGTCTGGCAGCAAGCCAGGCGGGGAAGGTCTGCACGCAGGAGCTCCAGACCCTTGGCCACAGGAACAGGCTACCTTCCTGGTAGGCAGGGACAGTGTGCACATGTCTACAGGCACTGTGCCATGCTGTTTTCCAATCCTTCCTGTAATTACTATTGGGCTGGAGACTGCCAGGCAAGAAGGGCCAAGGATGTTCCTATTACAATGACCAGCAGAACACAGTCCTCTATTCTGACCCCCAGGTTTCTCCAGAGAGGCGGCCACTTTGTACAAATTGCTCTGGCTGTGGGGTCTGGATCTCCTTATTCTCATTTCATTTTCTCGGAGCAGCTGGAATGTGGTCTCAGAACCATCTTCCTTCACCCCAACTCCACCCCTGGGTCTTGTTCCTCCTAGAGACTATTACGATGAAGTGAGGAAGGAATGCAATTTCTTGAAGGAATGAATTAATCTCTGGCCCTCTTTGCAGAAATTTGCATTTGTTTTGCCAGAATAATAACACTAGGAAACTTGGAATCTCATTTCTTAATTAATAATTTTTTTTCTTTGTGGACAGAATAAATGAAGTTCTTTTTTTTTTTTTTTTTTTTTTTTTTTTTTTTTAAATAAGACTATTTTTTTTGTGTGTCATTTTAAAGAAGAATATGCCAGCAGTTTGCCTGTTATCAGATTTCCCTAATGGAGATGAGTTCAGAATAGCTGTTAGGTACCTCAAGACTAAAAGGAATATTCTTTGGGTTTGGACCCCAAAGTTTTCCCATTCCTTTCCTTTGTTAACATACATATATCTTTCTCTTTCAAGTATTGGGTTTCTCATTGCAGAAAGAGAAAAAAGTCTCCTAAATGTGATTTATCAACTTTCTTAAAATAGAATTTAAAGAAGTGACTCCCAGATTAGTGAGAAGACAGCAAAAATAAACAGCAATGAAGTGATTTCAATAGCGACGATCTCATTAAGCTGCCCATTTCCAAATTTAGCCCCTAGGCAGTTTTTTTAATTAAAAAATATTTTTAACCTGAGTTCCTATTGGCTACGTGAGGCCTGGGTGGCTTTTGAATTCTTGGAAGCCATTCTCTTTTCCTCTGTAAATTTATGCTATCCTTTAACCACTTCAAAATAAATTAAAAACTGGAAAGACAGAAATTCAGCCAAGCTACATGAGACTCCAATAACTAATGCAAAGCTGATTTGTGTTAAGTAATTTCAAAATGGATGTTTCCTTGCATCTGACTGGCCGTATGAGATCCACATTTGGCTGCTCAATTAAGTCAAGGTGGAAAGTGCCCTTTTTCCGATCCCGGGGACAAAAGAATTAGCTGCACAACTTCACAACTCCCTTTTTTGAGTTAATGCTATGGAAGATGATGCGGTTTCTGTGTAATTAATCCTCCTTTTGAGGGCAAATGGCTGGTCACCTGGTTTTAACATCCAGTTTTGAAAACAGAGATGTTGGCTGAAACAAAATGGTGGCAAGTGATTTTTTGGCTGCTTTAGACCGAATGGAAACAGCCTGCTCTGAAGGCCACCGAGCCAGAGCCAGGGGAGAAGCCTGCTCCGTGCTCCGAGAAGAGAGCGCCACTGTACTGGTGTACTCACAATCAGATGACCCGGTGTGAGCGTGAGAGTTTGTCAGTGAACGTGTTGAGTGGATGAGGGCTGGGTCTGGAGACAAAACAGCTTCAAAGTTCAGGCAGGGAAGGCCCGGCTTGGCGCTGGATCCACCCGGCTGAGTAATCTCATTCTCCTCAGATGCCTTCTGGTTTTCAGCTGTCTTGGGTTTCTTCCTGAAAATAAACAAAGGGCCCTTTGAAGGAACTGAATGCATATTTGGGAAAAGGCATTTTTAGAATCTGTTAAAGATAACTTGATTTTTTTTTTTCTTTTCTAAGGGGGGATGGGAGGGAGTCCAGTATGTCCCTTGTTTTAAAACAAGCTGATTCTTGTTTTTTCTTTTTCTTTTTCTTTTCACTCCAGTAATGGCCTAACTGGGAACACATGAAAGCATATGGGCCAAGCAAACAGCACCACATTTGGGCTCCGTTGGCTGTATAAAAAGACCCTGTTCCGGAACTTTAGACAGCTTGAGCTACGTATGGCTGACATTATCCAAGAAGGCATCCTTTTTCCCCCTTCAGAGTTTTAACATGGTCTGGAAAAATACTAGTGGAGGTTTACCGTTCTAGCATTTGTCAGGAAGCTTAGAGACAGGACCCGTGGAGTAATGGGAGGAGAACTGGACTGGGAGTCAGGAGACTTGAGCTACGGTACTAGCTGTGCCTCTAACTTGCTGTGTAGCCTTGGGCACCTTACTTCACCTCTCTGGGCTTCAGTTTCCTCATCTGTAAAATAAAGGGCTTGGATTAGAAGGCCTTAAAGGTTCCTTCCAGCTTTAATTTCTCTTCATGGAACACATTATGAACATTCAACTTTCTTGCAGTTTTATTTCAGATCAATACATAATTTCAAATCACAATCTAAATCTGCAGGCTGTACAGGTGAGAGGTTAGTGATGAAGATTTTTGTTAAGATAGCAAATGGACAGTGAAAAGAAGAGCTAAGATTCCATAGGTAGAGGGAAGGTGTCACTGGAAATCCCCTATTCCAAACTCATTGCTCACCCAAAGCTTGAGATGCCTTTGTTTTTTTATTTAGTGCATGATTGCTTTTAAAGAAAGTTATTTATTGATTTTTAGAAAGTGAGAGCAAGTAAGAGAAACATTGATTTGTAGTTCCTCTGGTTTATGTATTCATAGTTGATTCTTGTATGTGTCCTGACTGAGGATCCAACCTGCTACCTTGGTGTTATTGGGATGACACTCTGAGCAACCTGGCCAGGCTTCACAACTCTTGAGAATAGAAATGAGACTGGGTGTTTGGGATGTGATGAAGAGATTGGTAAAGGGAATTAGAAAGCAAATACTGCTAATAATTAATTGGGGTCAGGAATAGGAAGTGAAAGAGGTACGCTATTGATCAGGTCCAGTCTTCACTCCCTTGGACAATGCAACTGATATAAACAAATAAATGCTTAACTTGGACTGCATACACCCTAGGCCTCAGTCAAATTGAATTATTAATCATACATTGAAAATTCTCCCAATTTCCTTAGCTCTGTGCCCTCTTCTGGAACTATATGCATGGTGATCAGAGAAAATGCTTTGTTTTACTTTTTTGGTAGAAGATCATGTGGTACAGACTCTGCTGTAAGTCTAGTTTCCATGTTTTCCTTATTTCTATAAGCATAGCAATGGACTTGTTACTCAGAATATCTTCTCTTGGGATTTGCTGTGCGGGGCAGTTAAATCTGCCCTCACAGAATATGGTGTTCTGATTAGCATGCTCTGTTTCTGGTCCAATTGGCTGTGAAATAAACCTGCTTTTCCAGAGGACAGGAGGCAGAGGTGGGGTGGCACAAATGAAAACAGAGGGAAGCTTTCAGACATTTTTCAGGATGAAGGAAGCCAATGTAAGAGAAGGAACAAACTGTAGCGCTTTACCTACTGTTTGTTGAGTGGGTGACTGTGGAACTAACCCCCAGATTCTGAGTGTCTGCGTGGACCTGCAAAGACCTGGTTTCTAGGTTTTAGTTTAATAAGGTCCCCAACTCCTTTCTTTCCCTAAGAAACTAGCGCTTCCTCCAAGGTCCTTATTTCCATTACTGTTTGTCCCTGGGTTGGAAACCGCAGGGTCACACATCTTCCTCTGTCTTAAAGTCAATTCATCAAGTCCTGACAATTCTGCTTCCTTTATATTTTATCATCCATGTTTCCATTCCATTTCCATTGCAATCGCCCGAACACTTTTTATTTGGACTGTTGCTCACTTCCCGGCTCTCTATTCTCCTTGACTCCTAGTCCCACTTTTCGCCATTCACTAAATCTGAGGTGACCACATCAGTCTGACCCTATTTTACCTTAGCTTGCGTGCCCTACATGTTGGCCATCCTGAACTCTCAAATTTCATGAATATTTCCAGGACATCCCAGGGAATCTTCATCCTTGGTTAAGTTATTTCTCTTGCTTCGAATGCCCCTATTTCAACTACATTGAAATTCTATTTACCCTTTATATTTATTAAATGTTGTTTCCATATTATAACTGTTTTGATTTCTCTCTGCCAGATAAGACCTCTCTCTCTCTCTCTCTCCCTCCCCCTCCCCCAATGTCTCTCTCAAATTCTCCTCCTTCCCATCTTTCTTTGAAACCCCAAACACTTTTTCCTTATTTTATTTTACTCACTCAATTTTGTTTCAATTATGTACTTATTGGAGGCCTGGTGCACGAATTTGTGCACTGGTGGGGTCCCTTGGCCTGGCCTGTGGGAATCAGGCCAAAACCAGCTCTCTGACATCCCCTGAGGGACCCCAGATTGTGAGAGGGCAGTTCTTGGGTGATGCACTCTGGAATTGGGCTCCCTGCTCTCTGGTTCTGGGTGCATCACCTGAGAACCACTGCTGCCACTCAGCTCCTGAACTGAATGTCTGCCTCCTGGTGGTCAGTGTGCATCATAGCTACTGGTTGGACGATTGGACGGTCACTTAGGCTTTTATATATATACTAGAGACCCGTTGCACAAAGATTCATGTAATAGGCCTTCCTTCCCCTGGCTGCCGGCACTGGTTTTCCTCCGGCACTTTGCTCCTCTGTGGCTGATAAGCCAAGCCTTGGGGCTTCTTGCTCTAGCCACAGTGGAGAAGCCAAGCCTCCTCAGTCTTCAGTGTATGCAAATCAACCCACCATCTTTGTTGGAATAATTTGGGATAATTTGCATACCCACTCCTGATTTGCTTGTGGGTGTTGTGGAGGTATGGCCAATTTGCATATTTCTTTTATTAGTGCAGATTAGTGTAGATATATATTATCCCTCCTCTAGGACACTGAACATCCTGAGGGTAAGGAAATGTCCTTGGTATTATTAAATTCTCTGTATTCATGCATTTTCCCCCCTTCGTTCCCTCACACCATTCATTTATTCACATATTCATTTTCCAAATACTTGTTATGTGGCTATGGTGTGCCAGCATGGGTTAGGGAATAGAACAAGCCTGTTTTCTACCTTCCCAATGTTTGCTCTGTAGTGTGTACTATTAGCCAAATAGCTTAGACAGGTATAATTCAATATATGCTTGTTGATAGAATGAAATGGTGAAGAAATTAAAGTATATTTTGAGAGTAGTCACAGTCTGAATCCCAATTAAGTTTGCTACTCCTTATACAGCAGCGAAATCTACCTTGAATGGATCGTTTTACTTTGAATCCATGAAGGGCACTTGGTAAGAGTAGGGACATTTTGCTCACTAAAGTTAGGCTGCTCCTCATGATTCATTTAAATACAGGGATGAAAAACTAATGACAAGCACAACAGAAAAAAATATTTATCTTGGCTGCTCTTAGCAATGCCTTCAGATGTGAGCTTTCAGAAATTAAGAAAGCTCTTTCAAAAATGAGCACATAGCCAGCATTATTCTTTTATTTTTATGACTGTACAAGTTGTATTTTCCTCCTATATAATAATAGTGGAATATTCAAATTATCCATTACACTGTAACACAGGAGGTGTCATGACCGATCACAGAAGGCTGCCTGTGTGTGTGCAGCGGCGGGGTGTTGCTCAGGAGACAGGGCGGAAGTGGGGAGGTGCCTGGAGGAGGCAGGACCATCCCATGGCAGGGAGGACAGGAGTGAGAGCCCATAGAGCCCCTCTCACCAGTCCTTTGAAACCCACCGCTCACAGTCAGAGTGCCCCACTGCCCCCTGACAGGGAAAGGAGCACAGCACAGCGGGTGGGAGGCTTCCATGCTCTCTTCTGGTGCCATGAGAGGCTGGAGCTGCCAGGTTGCTCCGGAGATGGGGCAGAAGCGGGGAGGCACCCGGAGAAGGCAGGACCAGCCTGAAGTGACTTGAGGGATTGAGGGTGGGGCTTGAAGCAGGCAGAGAAGGCCAGAGGGGTTGGGGCTGGGTCAGGCATGCTGGAGCTCTGTATGGAGAGGTTCAGGGTCAAGGCAGGGTGGTGGGTGGGTGGGCGGGGCCTCGTGATTTTGCGAGCTGGGCTCCTACAATAGTATATATAATAATAAAAGCCTAGGTGGTGTCACGACATTGCCACAAGATGGCCACCCTCACGTTGTCACAAGATGGCTGCCACAAGATGGCCACCGTAAGATGGCTACCATAAGATGGCCAGCAGGGGAGGGCAGTTGTGGGTGACTTGGACCGGTAGGAGAGGGCAGTTGTGGGCGACCCGGCTGGCAGGGGATGGCAGTTGGGGGTGACCAGGCCAGCAGGGGAGGGTAGTTATGGGTGACCAGGCCTGCAGGGGACAGCAGTTAGGGGCAAACAAGCTGGCAGGGGAGCAGTTATGGGATGATCAGGCTGGCAGGCAGAAACTATTAGGGACAATCAGGCAGGTAGGCAGGCAAGCAGTTAGGAGCCAGCAGTCCCAGATTGTGAGAGGGATGTCTGACTGCCAGTGGGACCGGGCCTAAATCAGCAGTTGGACATCCCGAAAGGGGTTCCAGATTGGGGAGGGTGCAAGTCAGACTGAGGGACCCTCCCCCCAGCACAAATTTCATGCACCCAGCCTGTAGTTCTTTATATAAATGTCCTTGCTTCCTTCCCTAGATTTCATCCAGCTTTCTACCTGATATCTTGCACCACACCCTCCTACTTATTACTGTAAGGATTACCTTTGGGGTATATTCAAAACATAGAGGCATTGGGGTCACCCCTATGAATAGAAATATTGAAAACTGAACTTTAATTGGTTCATATCTCCAATATCACTTTACTGGGCTGTTTCCCAGCTGCCAGAGAGCAGAGATCCACTCAGTGTTCTCAGAAGCAATTCACTCCCATCCACCTTCCCTGAAAGTCCTTCTGAACTCCTTTTTCCAGAGTTGAGAAACACTGAGATATAGCCTCAGTCTATGTCTACAAATGCACAGGTGGGTTATTCTGACCCTATTTTTTCAACTAATAGTTTATTAAGAAGGGAAGAGCAAGTCCTATAGTAATTCATTTAAGATACCTTCTTTGGTTGTGTAAAAAATAATTATACAAACAGCACATCTGAAGACCAGTCTCTTTCAGCCCCAGTGGCTCTGCATTCCTGCCAGGCGCCGGTAGAGGGCAGCAGCACACTGGCTGGCTCCCGGCTGCCTTCTGGAGAGGCACCTCCCCACCACTCACCAGACCAGAACCTTCCTCCTGGTCACAGTGCCAAAGGTTGTTTTGCCAAGCTCTGGCCGCTAGGCCTCTTTCTTTCTTTTCAGTTTTCTCTCTCTCTCTCTCTCTCTCTCTCTCTCTCTCTCTCTCTCTCTCTCTCTCTCTCTCTCTCTCTCTCTCTCTCTCTCTTTTACCCCACTCCCTGTTTCTCCCTCCCTCACAGTGTTAAAATTATACACTCTGATGAAGTCGCCCCTCAACCGGAAAATGAAAGCTCCAATGAAAAAGTTAGACAAGCCAACAATAACAAAGAAAGAAACTGGGAGAAAGGGGAAAGGGGGCTGGTGAGGGGGAAGGATTTAAGAACAAGAAAAGGGCAGATGTTTTGTAAATATATGCAAAGCAAAACTGGGTGTACCCTGAACACTTCCACCGAGAAACAGACCAATCATTGTGCACTTCCTCCCGCCACACTGGTGGGAGCTCTGCATTAAAAAAAAGAAAAAAAGAAAAGCGTGGCTGCAGGCACCTGCCTTTCAACAGTTAGTTCCGACATTCTGACTGAATATCTCCCAGTTGTCCAAGGAGAACAAAACCATTTTCATCTTCCCTGTTAAGAGAAAAAGCCAGCTTCAAGGCTGGGAAGGCATTCTAAGGTGACTGGCAGCTGGGTTAGCCAGCGGGCCCTTCTTGTTTTTAACTCTCACTGTGCTGGCCCTGGCAACAAGTTTTGGACTGAAACAGCAGTGAGAAAGGCTGTGGAGGATGTTGGCTCTTTCCTTACTAGACCATATTGTATGTGGAAGGAAATATGCATTAAAACATATTGATGAGATGTAGGTATCATGCATGTGAAATGCATGGAAATTAACCAGAGAGGCGGCATTTGATGTATACATTTCACACTTCTTCGCACACATTGCGCACATACAGTGATGGCAGCGCTTTCTACAACATATGGAAAATAAATATTTTATCTGTGTGAGCTCTTATCAGTCTCCAGGGGCTTTGGAGAGCAGAGTGCTCTTTTCTATCTCCCTCTCCCAATTTTCTCCCCGCCAGACTCCCCCTCTCCCGCGCATTAGTGTGCCTTCCACTCACCAGCCTGCTCGGATCGGAAGGAATTAGTGAGAACCTCCTTCAGATGAATAATTACTCAGTCATTAGATCATGATAATTTAGACCAATGATCTCCCCCCCCCCCAACTTTTTGGACTGGTAACCATTTCCTCACTCCCTTTCCCTACAGCACACTGGGAAAGGCTTAGTGGGGTGTTTGGGTTTGTGGGCAAAGGGCAGGTGGAAACAAGGCACCCAGTGAGGATTGGTGGCAGGACTGTCTACGGCCTAGTAGCTGTGTGCTCTAGACAGGCCACTCTGCTTCTCTGAGCCTCTGTTTCCTCATCGGAAAAGTAGAAACAATAACAATACCTTCTAGGGCTGATGTGAGAAGTAAAGGAGATAATTCAGATGATTCATGTCAAGTGGGTGGCACATCCTGGCACATGATCAGTGTGCCCAGTGATGGTAGCTCTTTTCACAGAGCGTGTCCCTTCTATGGTTTCTGTCTTTTCAGCTATAACAGAGCACTTCCTTTCTGTTAGTAATCTTTTTTAAGATATAGATTTGGGCAGAGGCAAATGGTCTGTAATTGTAGCAAAGGTGGAAAGAATGCTGGGACAAGTATCTCCTCTTGAGCACTGTGATCTCACTGTATTAACCTCCTGACCCCTCCTGTCTGCTCACGTTGGTCTTGCTGCTGCTGTACCAAGAGCTTTCTTCACGCTGATGCTTGAACAGGCTACCCTTGGCCTATGGAAGCCCATCAAACCTGAGCACTGTGGTCTATTCATTAAAACCAACCTTTGGCACTCTCTCATCATGTGTTCTTACAATTTACTCTTTCACTACTTGGTCTAATGTTCTCACATCAATTTAAGATTTTTTTGTGATATAACATTTTATTCTCTCTTTTTTTAACCTTCTTGGCAAGGCTGACTTACAATGTTTTTCAGTGTATATCTCCCCCACTGTATCAGGCAGGATCCTGGCAAGAAACAGATGGTATACTCAAAGGTTTGGACTGAAGGGAGTTCAATGAAAGGATTATACTGAGGTTCAAATGAGGTTAAGGGACCCTTAAGGGATGGTGAGCATCAGGGACTAACAGCATGGGAAGCTGTTAAATCTCAGCTTTAAACCGTTACCCTGAAGGAGCAAGACAGGCGTGGCTGGGAAGAGGCTGGATTAATAATGAGGTGGCCTCACTCTCCTCCCACTCTCACACCTCGCTGATCTCTCCTTTAGGCCAAAGTCAAGGGGAAGCCAGAAGAGAAGACAGCTGGGCAACGGAGTCCAGAAAGGCCAGCCTCCGGGCCACAGATCAAGACAGAGAGTGGTCCTGGGGTTTTGTTTGTGTCCATTGGGGATGGAGGGAGACTATCAGACATGTCTACAGTCTTCTTTCCCTCTCCGTTCCTTCACCCTTTGTTTCTCAATCTTACTTTCTGGAAGGAAAGACACAGCAAAATAAAAGGGAATCAATTCCCTTTTAGCGTCCACCTACCTATGTTGTCTGTTTGCCATTTTCAGGAGAAGAAAACGGAGTGTAAGCTCCATGACAGCAGGTGTTGGTGTTTGTTTGCTGCCATAACTGTGGTGTCTAGAGGAGTGCCTGGCACATATGAGATGTCCAGTGAATTTTAGCTGACTGAGTAAATACACTCATCTCTGCTGGACCAGACACTATATATACATTCCCTCATTTAATTTTTACAGCAGTCCAGGCAAGTAGGCTGGGCCCTGGGCATGCTTTTTCAGTAGTGTGGGAGTGGGTAGGTTTTAAAATCTAACACCTCCTTTATACCCATCCCAAAGCCTTGAGACCCGGCCCAGGGCATTGTCAACCCACAGGAAGGGACAAAGCTTTGTAATTAGTCCACATGTTTATACGTTAATCACCTTCTTGCTTTTTGCACCTAGCAGGTCACTTCAAGTTTTGTCATTATTTCTCTTTCATATATGAGGAAGCTGAGCTTTTGAGAAGCACAGGCTGCAAGAAGGGGACCCAATCTGTCTGTTCTCTAGGACCTGTTGAATGTGAAAGCAGGTGCTAGCTTTCTGCTCAGGTGAAATACTTTCAATGGCAGGAACAGATGCTGACCTGCAGGCTGAATGGTGATTTTCATGAAACCTTCGGTCCTGATTTCTGGATCTAGGTCTCGGCTCTGTGCAGCACAGGGAGGTGCGAGTGGTGGAGACTCTCTCCTCTCCCAAAAGATACAGATACCTCAACACCTGCCTGCGTCCCAGTACTCCTGTGCTACCCCCACTGGCACAGTTACTCCGTGATGAAGAAAAGCTCAGAGAAACACCTGATGTGGGGATCCTAAGGCACACCTTACACTTGAACATGAGGATGAAGGAAGGTGCTGACACAGTATGTTCCTTGCATAGGTAGGAAATGAAGAACTCTGCTTGATCTGGTGTCACATCTTCAGTCCCTAGTCAGCTGGCCCCGTTGTACTGCAGAGCCTTCCGACGGCCCCCTCTCCATTCGGGCAGGTGGCCTGCCTGCCACCTGCACGGTTGCTACCATCAATCACAACTCAGGTGGCGAAACATTTAAGATATAAAGTAACACAACACAAAACAAGACAAGACAAAAACCTCTGGCATTACCCCTTTGGGTTTGATATTTGCCAGAATAGCTATAAAGACATAGAAAATGAAAATGTGAAAACCCTACCTGAAGCCTAGGAGGGGCGTGAGCCTCCCAGGCTTAGCATTTTCCAGGAACAGAGATGCCTGGAAAATACTATCCCATCACCTGCCTCACGCCATATAGAAGAATTTGTGACTGTGACACATAGAGTAAGTTTTTGTTTCAAAGTGTGAAATTACGTTATTTTGCATGCATAGCCTCTAAGTGATGTAAATGCCTGCCTTTTCTAGTAAGAACCCCCCATGCAAAATATTCATCTGTTATTTTAGTAATGATTAATAAATACTTGATATCAATCTCTCATCAGTGTTTTCCTATAGGTGTCCCATCTCCTACACCAACTTATTTCTGTACCGTGCCTTGGAAGAGCTGTACTGCTCCTACATACATGCCTGCTACAGAGGGAACTAAACCTAGTACGCGAGCTATGCATTCTGATGGCAGAGCTGAGCTGGATACAAAGGCTGAGAGATGTGGCTGAAGGAGCCCAGTGCCCCACGGGGTGGGCCTTGGTCCCCGAGAGTAGCAAGGAGACAACAGCACAGGCACAGAGATGCTCAGACAACAGACAGAAATGGGTGAGGAAAGCAGGCGTGGATTTGACCAGGGTGGCATGAAGCTCCAGTGAGGTGCAGCAGAGTGGCACAGTGAGGTGGCGAGAGCTGCCTCTGCTTCAGGCAGCAGATGAGCAAGCAGAACAGCACCACTCATGCACAGTGCCCTCAGGTCCTGCTAGGCACAGCCTCCCTCCCCCATCCCCCTCTGGAGAGGAGGGCACGATGCTGCCACGGGCGCACTGCAGGTTGGAAGCCGAGAACTGCTGCAGGCGCCTCAGGACTGAGTCCGATTACCTTACTGCATCAAACAGATGAAGCCCTCTAAAATTTCATCTGCTTTTACAATTCTGTGTGTGTGTGTGTGTATGTGTGTGTGTGTGTGTGTGTGTGTGTGTGTGTGTTTTAATTACAGTGAACCAAGAGGCCTATCATCAGAAGCATAATGTACTCACAGTAGTTTCCAAACAAATGGTGTCACTCTTCAGGTAAATCACTCCAAGGCTTGGGCCTAGTGCAGATGTTCATTGGGGCAGGGGACAGAGCGCGGCTGCATCTAGATCAGAGGAGAGACAAACAAAAGGAAGGCTGCTGAGTGAACAGGTTACGGCGATCATCTCTTCCCGTAGACACAGAACAGCTAGACTTGGTTGAGAGGCTGGTGAGCACCTTGGCACCAGAGGAGGCAAGTCAGGGAAGGGGCTGGAGAGGATGTCCTCCAGGCTCCCTTTTCAGTGTTCCTACCTGCAGGCCTGTGCGGTCTGACAGCACTGGCAGCACCCTGGCAGCTCAGGGGGAACTGATTTTGTGTTTTTAGTTGGAAGCTGTGGTGGAGGGAAAGGGATGGGGAAGAGGAGGGAGTGTCAGTCAACTTTGCCATAGCCCACTCTTCTTCCAGTGTTCCTGATTCCGCTGCAGTCTCTCTTTAGTGCTCAATTTTTACCCATTTTAAAAATAAATATATTTTTATTGATTTTTAGAGGGAGAATAAAGAGAGAAAGATCAATGATGAGAAACATCTATTGGCTGCCTCTTGCACAGCCCCTGCTAGGGATCAAGCCCGTAACCAAGGCATGTGCCCTGATCAGGATGGAACTGGTGACCTCTTGGTGCATGGGTTGATGTTCAACCACTGAGCCACACTGGCTAGGCAGTTCTTACCTGTTTTTAAGACACTCACTGACCTGGCCATATTTCTGAGCTCTTAACTTTTTTGTACCGTTCACTGCAAAGGCTCCATGTCCTCTAATCTGTGGAGTTCAGCCTCAGGAGCTACTGAATGAACTACCACCTGTTTCAGAGCCACAACTCAGAGGCCTTTCCCCAGGTTTTGCATCTTTGGCCACATTGGGCTGAAATGATCCCTAAAGCCCTCCTCCCTTCTCATAGGGACCCTGCATTACTCTGACTTCCTCCTATCTTCAGTTCTCTTTTCTGCCTCCCTCACTGGCTGGTCTTCTTTGGCCTGTTCCTAAGCTTAGATATTCCTCAAGATTCTCTCCTCAGGCTTTGCCTCCACCCACTCCCCATGATCTCAACAATCCATTTTCCACAGAGAACATCCACACTGCTATCTTCAGTGTTTGCTTTTGTCTACAGAGCTCCAGTTATTTGTCTAAATAACTGCTGGTAATGGGCTCATTCATTCATTCAGTGTTTATATACACACCTGGAAAAGATGAATACTCCATGAAATATTGCAAGAGCATTTCAAATTCAGAAAGTTTTAAACAGAATTTATTTTCTGTTTAAAATAAATATATTCCTTCTCCAGCCTCCTTCTCTCCTGGAGAAGGTACCATCTTTCTCCAGTTACTTGGACATACAATGGAGGGATCTTCTCCAACATCTCCTTTCCTTTGCTTCCCAAATCAAATCGGCTGCCAAGTTCTGTGGTTTTTACTCAGGCTGTGATTCCTTAATCAATACCTGCTTTCTATCCCAACACTGATCACCTGTTACCAGGATTACTTAGGGAGCCTCCTAACTGCCTTCACTTCCTCTAGATTAGGGGTGTCGAACTCAATCAGAGAAGGGGCCAAAATCTAAAATCCAGCCTAAATCGCGGGCTGAATGGTTTACTGAACAGTCATAAACTGTCATTGCGATGGAAACACAGCGGAGTGCAGTGATGACAGCGCGGTGCGGGCCACATTGCAAGGCCTGGCGGGACGGATTTGGCCCGTGGGCCTTGTGTTTGACACATGTGCTCTAGATTCTCTTTACCACTAGTCCATCCTTCATAATCAATATTGCATTCCTTTCTCTAAAGTACCACTTCAAACATATCACTTCTTTGCTTATTTGCTTACTTCTCAGTTTGGCATTCAAGGCCCCAAAACATGGCCCCAACCCAATTTCCTAGTCTTAGGTCTACAGTCCATTCTCCACTGCTGCGAAGTCCCACCCCTTCCCACCATGTGCATGGTGATGCTCCCCTTTCTCAATGTCCACATATCTTCAAGGGCCATCTAAATGCTACCTCAGTTATGAAGAATTTCCCAAAAGGAAAGTGAATTCTGAGGCACTTTTGCACTAAGTACTTGAATCCTGAAGCACTTCTGCACTAAGCTCTTTGTACATTCTATTGATTATTTGTTTACTATATCTCCCCCATCTCTAACCCCCTTGAAAGCAGAGATAGTTTTTACTTTGTATGCCCTGTATTGTGCAAAGCCCAGCACACAGGTTTGCACTCAGCTGATGTCTGCTGAACTGCATTTAAAAGGAAAAAAAGACTCTTGTTTAGAGTCAATGGAAGCTAAGACTGAATTGGAAAGACCTTTAAGCTCATCTACTCCAACCCCTCATTTTATCAGATGAGGAGATTAAAGGTACCAACTTGCTCAATGATAACTTATATAAAAGCTCTCAAGCCTCTAACCATCTCTCAGTGCTTGCTCAGCACCAATAGGCCCAGCAGACCATCAGCATTGACCAGACAAGATCAACTCAGGGGTAGGGAGTGTATCACCTGTAAGGATATGCGAGGGTCCAAGAGATAAAGAATTTTGCTTCACTTAAATAAACCGAACTCATAATTATCTATGTATAGTTAAATAATGTTTTAAAAATGAGGTGGATTTAAAGAACAAGGAAGCATACCTTTCTAACAGTATCAGCAGAAACAATCACTATAATATTGCAGATACCACTGGGGCGATAAACTCAGGGTGAAAACCAGAATGAAGGAATTTCTCACGCTTTGCAAACTCAATGGGTTCAGCTGAAGTTCTTGGTGAGAACATGCTGCAGCAATTCTATGCTTAAATTTATGACCTTATGGAAACACGGACTATTGGCAATTTTGCTATTATGGCACCTCAACACTTCTTTTCAATCTAGTTTTGCCCAGTATTTACAACTTTGAAGTTTTACTTATTTTTTTCCGTTAGATCACGAATTTACTTCTAGATATATGCCGATGACTCCTCCCATGTCTTCTAATTTCCTTCCCTTGTTCTCCTCTTGTGGTAGAAGAAACATTAATTGTTTAATCTCATCTCTATCCTCAGAGTCATTTTCTCTCACCCAAAGATGAGAAAGCCGAACCTAACACCCTGTGGGGATAACACTGTTTACCCAAGTTAAGAAATCACAGTAGTTTTTCCTTGGCCACAAAAATTCAGCCTTTAAATGGCAGCCTACAGAAGGACAGGACTTCCTCTGACTCCCAGGTGAGTACTTTGCTCACCACTACTCGCCAGAGGACAGCTTGGCACTATTAATCACACTCTTTGCAGCCAGTACGGTAGAGCCATGCTATGCACCGAAATGTCCATTAACTCTCCACACCCCAGGAGCCACATAAACAGTAAATGGGGCTCAAAAGCTCTTCATAGAGCTCTTCTTACTAAACCATCACATGGCTGGACAGGCCATCAACACTTCACCAGACAAGCCTGGTCTTTTCTCCCCTAGCAACTACATTAAAACAATGAGGGAAATCACTGATCGATATGTCTAGTACATTGCAGTGAAACATTGTCTGGAAGCCTACAATTTTATTGTGTAATTAGATGAGTGTACATTCTAAATATGCCTAGCATTTGATTTGAATTGTGCATTTTATAATTAAATGGAAACATAATCTCTCCGTTCCCCAATCCAACTCCTCTTTCTCAATCCTACATCATGTCGTTATGATCTTCTTTTCTTTTTTTTTTTTTTTTTTAGCAAATTGTCACCTATCCTCTTCTTCTTTCCTCTCATGCTTTAGCACACACCTGAGGGTCTATTAATCAGAATTGCCACATGGTGTGTCGTGTTCTATTGTTTAAAGCACATGTGTCAAACACAAGGCCCGCGGGCCAAATCCGTCCCGCCAGGCCTTGCAATTTGGCCCGAACCGCGCTGTCATCACTGCACTCCGCTGCGTTTCCATCACAATGACAGTTTATGACTGTTCAGTAAACCATTCGGCCCGCGATTTAGGCTGGATTTTAGATTTTGGCCCCTTCTCTGATTGAGTTCGACACCCCTAGTTTAAAGGGTGGTTCTCCTCTAAAAAAGACTCAGTGAAGCCGGGACCGGTTTGGCTCAGTGGATAGAGCGTCAGCCTGCGGACTGAAAGGTCCCGGGTTTGATTCCGGGCAAGGGCATGTACCTTGGTTGCGGGCACATCCCCAGTAGGGGGTGTGCAAGAGGCAGCTGGTCAATGTTTCTCTCTCATCGACATTTCTAACTCTCTGTCCCTCTCAATTCCTCTCTGTGTAAAATCAATAAAATGTATTTAAAAAAAAAATTAAAAAAAAAAAGACTCAGTGAAAATGACTTCATGAAGTTTCACATTTATTCTTTTTCAATGATTTCCATAACCAGTGTAGTCACAGTTTTAAAGGCAAAAGATAGTTTTGAGAGGCTGTGGGGCCGCACATGCCTCCCATAATCAGAAATACAGCTGTGCTCCTTGCCTCTTACATCATCCCTGTAATAGTCTGCTCTGGGAACCCAGCTGGCACAGCTCTTGCTGGTGTCAAAGGCAGGAGACTGGAGTCCTTTCCATTCCCGCCTGTGTTTCTGACATCTCTGCAGCTCTGTCTTGGAAGTCCTTGGGGAGCAGAGTTGTTATGTAACACACGGCCATATATTACTGTGAGGCACTTCCTGCAGAGGTCTTATTCCCATTCTTTAGAATCCACACCAAGTCATTCTAAAGTGACAACCGGGGCCTTCATGACTAAAGCTTACAAAAATAATAATAGTAACAATAATAGCTGCCATTTATTAGACCTCTAAATGTCAGGGACCATGCCAGGCATTTTGATATGCAAATATATTCTCATTTGACCCTCACAGTAATGTCATGCTGTAGGCGTTACCATATCCATTTCGCAGATGAGGAAAAGTAAGGCTCAGAGAGCTTAAATAACCATTTCAAGATTAGGAAGCTGTGTATAGTCAAACCCAGACCTTTCTGACTCTAAATCTGTGCTTTCCCCCCCACTATACAGCAACTCTTCCAACCCAGCATGGACGCATTCTAGTACCCACTGTGATCTTGGTGCAAGAAAGATGCTTATGCTGTTTCCATGATGACTCAAAGCCCCTGAAAGA